CGACTTCCCCCGCCACGTCCCCTTCGGTTCTGTCTTTCTCTCTTTCGTTCCCTACCTTCCCCTTCAGCTTGAGGGGAAACATTTATAAGCGTGTAGGAGAAGGTGCAAGGAAAAGGGAGAGAAGAAAATATTAGCATGACACAAGCAGAAATCCCCCCAGAGGCGGTGTTTGGTTTCTGAAGGAGTACTTATCACCAAACAATGGCTTCAAGGGCGTAGAAACTTTCTCCCCACGCATTAAGAATTTAACCAAGGAACTAATTCCGTTGCCCTCCCCGCACTGCAAGGGAGGAAACGGATGAGGTGAGACACCGTGAAACTGGACAAGCAAGAAGAGAGAGAACAAGAGACAAAGAGAGGGAGAGAGAAGGGAGGACAAAATAAACCACACAAATTAGATTAGCTTGCTATCTAATGCTGGACACATTGAAAATAGAGAGGGCTGGTGAAATTCTGAACTTAGGAATAGGCTTTTAGTTCATGAGTGTGAATTTGAATTGAACTGGCTGCATAGCAAAGGATTTTGAATTGAAATTTGAATTGGAATGACAGGAAGAGAAATACTTAACTGCAATTCAGAAAAAAGAAAATCAACAAACAAATCACATCATTACTAAAATAGCTAACAACTGACTAATTGTTAATATAAAAATATATAATTATTACTAATTATATTTATGATAAATTATTTATTTCAAGATAAATAGTTATTTTTTAAATGTATCATGATATGACATATGTAAATAGATATGATATATGTAAAATGTAATCAAACAAAATGTATTAAATAATAATAATAATAATAAAATGAAGGTTATTATCCAATAAGTTTATGCATAATACTGAAAAAGAAAAAGAAAAAAGAATTTCATTTAATTTTGACTCTACTTCTTTAAATTCAAATTACAATTCTGCACCCAGTTTGCTACCTCAATTCAAATTCAGGAATTGAACTGGAATTTTGAAGTCATTCATAATTCAGTTCTGAATGACACAGAAGCCTGAAAACTGAGCACAGAGCGAGACGGATCCATGGATCCCTTCAGCAGAAGGGCGTCACACAGGCAGACGTTAAGACAAGCATTGCACATAGCACTCTGAACAGAGAAGAAAGGGAAGCAGAGGAGGATGAGGGAATGAGGGAAAACGAGGGGGAAGGCAGACGTGCATTACAGAAGCATGCTCTACAAAGAGCCTCCTAACAAACACACATAACAGAAACCGGAGAGGGCTTTCCAACTTACAACAGCGACCCAGATACAACCCTTCCTCACAGCGAGGTGCAAAGGTTCATGCCAATTATAATCACACTACCCTGGCTCTTCAATCTACTCGTCTAATTGGATTCATTACGCACATCTCACTAGGCCCTCCAAAGTTCAATGGGTGCTTAACTTGTTATTGTTTCCTTTTTTTTTTTAAATAAAAAAAAAAATCAAAGTTTATGCTGTTTTCAGCAAGAGATGCTAATCAAATAAATATGCAAATGATAAATATTAATCAGAGTGTGTTGTCACCTGGGGCGTTGATTCCCAGGCACCTCTTTTCACTGAGCTCTTGCTCAATGACATTGTCAGTAAGTCTGAGCCCATTGTTAGTCTTTATGAGTTACTGCCATGGGAACAGAGAGACAGACAGGCAGAGACAGAAAGCTGGTATATTCTGAGGGTCTGTTCACTTTACACAAGCTATGAAACATCCTCTGGACAATAATGACAGCTGTGTATTTAGGTCAGCTTCATTTGCAGGATCCATCTTGCTCTGCTTAGACAAACGTGCTGCTTTCTTTCCTTATCATTAGGAGTCCATTACGGCTGGCACACCCACCGAGTTATGGAGTTCTGAAATGACATTGGATGGAGCTGAGCCATGATAATGCACAAAGATCATCATTCAAGGTCTCATAGACTTCAGTCAGAGCAGACGCTTTATTTAATTTGATGTAAACGAAAATGAGGCTGTGAAGGACGGAAATAGCCCGTTAAATATATTGTGCTGGCGTATACCTGGATAGTGTTCATTCAACCATTGAAACCTGGAAACAGATTCCCGGTGGACATAACACAAGTGTGGTGGAAATTGTGAAGATGAGCGCAGGACCTCATTTAAACTAACAAAAAAACAGTATATATATATATATATATACACTATAGTACCACGGTCATCACAGTACCATACTAAATAGACTGTATTTAAATATGGATATAAATATGAATGTTATGGTATTACCATGTGATACCATAACTATACCATCTGCAACAGAACAACTATGATTTGACTAAAAACATTGCTGTAAAATAAATTAAACATGTTTAATGCAACAAGTAGTTTTAAAAAAAATAATAATTATGGTTACAATGAATGTAAAGAATTTGTTTGCATGAAAAATGCCATATGGAGACTTCCAGCCGTCTAATAACATGCTCTTCATGAACTTAATGACAAAATAAAAAGCATTCATCACAACACTACTCAATTTAACATCAGCAGCAAAAACCTTGCAAACTAAATATTCAATATAACTAAACTAAAACTTTGAATTAAAAGTTGAACTAAAATTGAACTAAAAATTCAATATAATTGCCCAACCCTATCTTTTGTCACTCCTAAAATGACTTTGACACGGGTGTTCTTAGACTTATCTGCTGCCTCGCACATCCAAACAACAGACCGAAAAACCCACGCTGACATTAATAGGACCTGAACTCTCTATACAACACCATATTTTAAAGCTCCATCAACAGAATGCAGGTAGACTTTCAGATGAGGAACCACAGTCTGGTCTTGTGTATCTTCGGTCCTTTGTTCTCAATCTTTCTACTTTCAGTGTTTTCTGTTTTCCTTAGGAGCTGCAGTCTCTTGTTGACCTTTCGCAGTACTACATATTTCTTTGATTTTAGAGCGAATCGTCTCTCGACGAGAGCTGCTGACACAGTGACCCAGCTCTGCTTGTCTCCAAAGACAACGGGAAGCAGATGAAACCATGTCAGACACTGGAAAAAGTACTGACATGCTCAGCGTTTGAAATGACTCTTGTACACACACAGCTTCTCTGCTATTGATTAGCGTGTGACAAGAGGTCCATTTAGAGGTTTTCCAGGTTTTAAAGGTGAGCTTTGTCACGCTTGAGCGTCTTCTAAAGGACCGAAACGCACTTTAGTAAAACATAGACTTCACTTGGGCCCTTGTCAGTATGAAGGCAGTCTATAATACACCGCAGGAAGCTACTGTAGCTGTTAGAATTCCTATTAACAACATCTAATGGGAACATGCTAAAAAGCAAAACCTGAAAAAGTCTGGATGGATATAACCGAAAAAGAGAGAGAGAAGACAAAGAATGTGACAAAAGCAAAACAAGACGACCATGCAAAGCAACCTTTTTCTGCATTTACACATCAAACTGAGAGCAGGTGTCCAAAGCACAAGACTTTCGCTCATCAATGCTCTGTATCTTCCTCGGCATGAAAGGCAGTCAGCCTGGCTCAGGTCCGCCACGGAGCTTTTGATGTTTAATTAATGTTCTGTTTGCGGAATATGCAAATGTAAATAAATGTATTAAAAAAACATACTGTAACTTGCCACCAGCGAAAGCCTGAAAGGACCAAAACATTTACTTTGTCAGAAATAATTAAATAAATCCAAAGACACGAGCACTACTCCTCTTTACATGTTAATTTATGCATCTTTTCGCTGAAGACTGGAAAACAATCCTAATGAGTCATAGTGGCTGATAGTGAGAAGAGAATAAAGAAGAGAGAGGGAGGGAAAAAAAGGAAAGATTCATCCAGCACTATAGTTGCCACATATGTGCTGCCAGGGAGTAGGACACACATAGCATTCAGAATAAATAAGAAGGATATTTCTGTACCGTTAAAATGCTCTCAAAATCTGAACCTTGCCAAAACAGCCCTGGATACACGTCCCATAATTAACACACTGTCCAGGTCCTGTTTTTTTCCCTTTCAAGCCTTTTTTTAATAACTGCTGCAATAATTTTGAGGTGTTTAATGCATTTTAGTATAAAGTGGAGAGTGGCGCACGAAACTACCTCTGAATTACTGTACTTGCATAGAATTTATTTCTTGATTGTTAACGCAGAACATTTGGTAGATATGCCAGGTGTGCACTGCAAAAAAAATAATTCAATATTTTTGTCTTGTTCGCAAGCAAAAAAAAGTAAATATTCATAAACAACTTTAAGAAATTATATATTTATTTTTCTAAGATAATTAAGATATTCTGTAAAAATGAGACAAGATGTAGATTTTCAGCTATTACTAACCAAAAAGCATCAAATATACTCTTGTGTTGTTAAACAAGTACAATTTAACCATAAAAAGCAATGTCTGACTCTTTTTTAAATATTTTGAATCTCATGGATATTCAGCTCCTATGGCCTTATGGGATGTCCAAATGTCCAATGGTAGCACACTTTGCGGATGCAGTGGGTCATGCAGGTATTGCTCACCTGCATATTCGGGCATCTTACGTTTTACTACACTGCTTCTTATATACTGTATAGGAGGGAAGTACACACTAGAACTCAAGGGAGAATGCCAAAGGGATGTGCCACACAAGTGCACAAACGTTTCAAGCAACGCAAGCCCATAAACTTTATTCTTCTATGGCCAGTCTTCAATCTTCACTGAGCGACTTATAAATATATTTAGTACTTTTTATTGTCATTTTTGAATGGCAGCATATAGTTTAATGTCAGACATTTGACAGTAACCCTCTTGCCCTTGAGCAATAGTTTTCTGCTGCCAGAGTGATGCCAGGTCACTTTAAATATGGGAATGCTCACTGCCACATTTTGACAGAGTTTTTACGTCTGCGTACTTGCATAGATTCTGTTTCTATCCTTAAGCGTAACAGAGAAACTAACATAGCTCCTATCAAGGGGGCTACATGCATGCATCCATGCAAACCGGTTGCGGGGCAACAACAGGGACAGAACGATTGGGAAGCACTCTAAAAAAAGAAGAGCTCCATGACCTCACTTCCCTTCCAAATAGTGCCATGAGGGCTGAAGCTGCAGGGAGGGCCACTCCAACCATCCTCCATCACGCAAACAAACACAAGAGACAGAGACAAAGATGTACAGGTAGAAAAGAAGGACATCAAACCAGCCCTTTGAGGGCCCCCTGAAGGAGACCCACAGGTCAGAATTCCAATAAGAAAGGTCAGAGGTTGAACTCTTCCCCGCTCGCAACGAGTGGTGTGTCCGGCGGCGGCCCTGAGCAGACGTCACATGGACAAAGACAGACAGAGAGACACACTGGAACAGAAAAAACAGTTTAAAGACAGCCAAAAAAGGACATAAAAGGACAAAGGGGGAAATGACAAGACATTTGAACAGGGAAGGACTGGCGTGGACGACTGGCACTGGAGGGGTGAGGACATGAATGAAACATGAAGTCAGCGTTTCATGTGTCATCAGAGCTGATGGCAGAATGAGAACGGCGTGGAAATGAAAGAGAATGAGCACCTTCCACAAGAGTTTCCCGCAGGACACAACCAAACACAAGCAGACATACAATGCTAATTAAACAACATCTATTTCGCTAACATAAAATTACAAGAACACAGAAATACATTGCCCAATTCTCCACACTCACCACAGGGCCCTTGTTGCTTGATGGGGATGTCTGTTTCGGTCCGGCACTCTTCGAGTTTCCTCTCGCAGTCGTTGGGGTATGTCTTTCCATCCTTTCCGCACAGGGGCTTGTACGTGCCGTCACATTGTATGGGGTCGCAGGAACACTGAAACTCTCCGTTTTCCAGCAAACACATGGCGTTGAACTTACAACCGTTCGGGCAGCCCCCTGGAGACCGGAGACACATGTATACATGCGTCAACAATGTGAAGAACGGCAGTAACCGTCCTGGTGCTAATCAACACTGACTGGAGGCATCTCTCTTTCTCTCTCGCTCAATCAGACATCGGATATTGACTCACTCAGGGGTTTTGAATTAATTACCGTGCCTGATTATTTAATCAATTATCTAATTCCATTCAGATTGATTTGGGGTGTTTTTTTTTCCCACTCAAGAGTTGTGTTAAGCTGTCACAGACAGGCAGTGGCGGTGTGTAATTACAGCAGCCTTTCATCTGTTTGAGAAAATTAAAAGACCTATTATGTTATTGTACAATCTGAGCTTGATTTATGTTTGATTGCATTATCCAACCTATCTTTAAGGATGTGACATACATGTTGATGAAATTGGACTCACAGGAAGCTATAGGAATGGAAGTGGAATTTCGTGAACTACATGAAACAGCTATCACAACCCTATTACTTCCACAGTGTGACGTATTTGTGAGTAAAAAGAGTACTTAATGAGATCAAATCTAGGGCAAGACTTGATTTAATCCATCGGGAATTGTTTGGATTGCGAAAACTGGGAGTTCCACATAAGATTGGACCTATGAGAGATTGCTGAGGAGAATTTCACTCCTTAAACACTGCTGGTGTTGTGAAATATCTATAACCCTGCTCTGTGACACTCAGATCAGATAAAAAAATGTAGCAAGTTATCACAATATTTTGTTCTAACTAATCAAGAAAGGCCTTTCTTAGCTAGTTAGCATTGTGCTATGCTAGCAGGCTAAGCTGTAGCTAGTAAACAACATCTTACCAAAGCTAAAAAATGTAAGGTGACCAGATTTCTGAATAGAAATAGGACAATTAAACATCCCACTTTTTTGTGCCTTCATTTATCCTTTAGTTAGCAACCCTGATAGCAACAGACTCCGGGGCGGATCCGCCCTCAAGTTGGCAGCTCCACTGTACTGTCAGACTCTGTTCGGTCATTCGCCCAGAATATGCCCCGCCTCCGGACAGCGCACTGTCAGTTAGCGGACTCATTATGGACACTGCGCGGATTAGCAATCCGAACACGTTTTTTTTTTTTTTAACCGGTGCCCTCTCAGAAATCCTCCTCAGAGTGGAGAAACTGCGGCCGGCCAGGTTGAAGAAGACTGAACTCGGTAAGAATACTTTTAAAATATGCTTTATTTGTACAGTTGCCAGTAACATTAACATTAATAAAGTTGTTAATTGCTTTGTTGTAGTTTTTCATTTTTGAAATTGCGTTGTGGAATGTCCAGTTAAGGTTAGCTCTTTAGCATTATTAGCATTATCATAGATTTGAGTACGTTAATAATAGGCCTATTTGGATGGGATCTCCCTCCTTTCTGTGAGACGGGTAACGTTAGTTTAGTTGACTATCCGGCTTTTAATCGTATATGTAACATTAGGTAATTGTCCACCCCTCTTCAGGAATAACTGCAGGCGAGAATAAACTTTTTTTTTTTCATTTAAATTTGGTTCTAGAATATTAGTTCAAGTCTATTTTCATTTATATTTCGACAAATATATTCCCCACCTCTCCTCGTAATGTTGTTTTAGTACATATGAAATAAACTATAGCGGACTCATTACGGAGGCTGGGCGGATTCGCAATCAGAACGCGCTTTTTTCTAACAGTCGCGTCTCTGAAATCAAATCAAATCCTCCTCAGAGTGCTGAAGCTGCGGCCGGCCAGTTTGAAGAGATCTGAACACGGCAAGAATACTGTTTAAATATGCTTTATACGTACAGTTGCCAGTAACATTAAGGTTAATAAAGTAGTTAATTGCTTTGTTGGCATTTTTAATTGTGAAATTGCGTTGTGGAACGTTAGCTCTTCAGCACATTAGCATTATCGTAGATTTGAGTAAAGTTAATATCAGGCCTATTTACACGGGATCTCCTTTTTGTGAGACGCGGTAGTCCTGAGCGTAT